CAGGCTCCTCAGCCTCACCTCCTGGCTCGCGCGGGTGACACGGGTAGAGCTAGTGGGGAGTAAGCGTTCCGCCAAGTATCGAGGTCCTAAACCATTTAGGGCTTTATATGCAAGCATTAACACTTTGAAGTCAATGCGGAAAGGGATGGGCAGCCAGTGCAGCATGGCCAGAGTAGGAGAGATATGTTGGTATTTTCTCACTCCAGTAAGGAGTCTGGCCGCCACATTCTGCACCACTTGAAGTTTCCGCATCAGCTTCAAAGGAAGCCCCACGTAGAATGCATTACAGTAGTCTAATCTAGAAATTACGGAAACAAAGAGCAAATTGTTTACATTCCTGTTTCATATTCTTTATCCATTTATTCAAAGGTCTTTGTTTTAGGACAGTAGAAACTGGTGGCTCAGCTGTCCTCAATGAGTGTAAAGGGACTATCCATGGTGCTGAACCTAATCTGGATTAGTTCATGCAATGCCCCATAAAGTGCCAGCTGCCCTACTCACTTTGGATTCACCACCTCTCAAGACAAACTGAACACCATTAATTTCCCATTAATTATTCTGTAAATTCCATAAAATTATCAATGGAACTTGACAGATCTGAGGGCATATATGCCCTACCTATGAAACATAAATGGATAGGTAAGATTTATAAAAACATGTCTTGTACTGTAAATTATTCTTGGTATCAAACTATTCATCTCATTAATAACATGTCATTTCCCTTTCTCTGTACTTTCATTTTTGGTCTGAGGAAGCTGCTCTAATAAAAGAGAGATAAATAGGATAAAACAGTCAACATCTCTAATGGCTTCTGGACATTATTAATCAGTCATTACAGTGATTATAGACATTATGAAAGAAATCACAGACTGCTTTTTATCATTGGATCTCAAAGTGGTGGTACTCTATTACTTAAAGAAAGCACTGCTTTTGTACTGTACTGACGTACAATTGGCGGTAAACATATTGACTGCTGCCAAGATTTATATTGCAGTGTTATTGGAGAATACATAATCCACTGCCACTTTTGAAAATATGGCATATTGTAACCATGCGGTTTAAGACAACTTATTTTTTGAAAGAAGGATTCATGAAGAAGTGGATTTTGCATGGCACCATTTTGGAATAATAAATTTGAAATACTATATAAGTATGTGTGTTTTTACACAGATGCACACACTCTATACTCTTCATTACAGATTGACTGATTTAACCAATTTTGATTGAAATTAATTATATATAACCTTTGAATGGTTTATATACTTTCAAAAAACAAAAAACAAAAACAGATTGGAGGAAAAGGGAGAAGAAATATTCTAATCCTCCCCGACTTCCATAGTGAACACTCTCAAATAGCTTTCTTAGCCCTATGAAAGGAATGATGGTATCAAAAGCAACTGGGGACAATGATCTGAGGATGAAAAGGGATGGAAAGGAGTAAGATGGCCCTCCCCTAATGGGCTGCAGTGAAAACTTTAGGCTAAGAGTACATACATGTCAGGTAAAAAGTAAAGAAAATCAAATGTTGCATCGGGGTCGGGAGGGACTACATGCAGAAAGCAAAATACATGGAATTTGAGCTCTAGAGAGGATGCAGTTTTGTTACAGGAAAACATCATACTTTGTAGGGTGAGACTCAAATAAATGTTGGTCTCACTCTGTGTGTGTTTGTGCTTGTGTGTGTGTGTCTGTGTGTGTGTGTGTAAAAGAGAAAGGAGAATGCATCTATTAACATCAGTTATTAGCACTTGTGTTACATGTTAGCCAAACACACATGAGCACCCAAACAGCCAGATTAACGTGCATGGTTGTTGAAACTTAATCAATTAAATGCAGCTTCTTGTTTTGAACTCATTGTATTTGAAATCTTTTTAAAATAAACTGAAACTTCTACATGTTCCATAGTGATTTGGTAAAGTACATATGGAAGCATCTCTCTCTCTCTCTCTCTTCTATGAGTCATTCCCTTTCCTTGGAATCTTTCTGTTCTCTAAAACAGATATAGATAATACTAAGTAATGCAAAGTTTTGTTCATATATGTAGACACCCACACATGTTTGCTCTCCCCATTCCACTTTGTGCCCCAGGGTCACCTTCACTTTTGCAGAACGGCTAGCTTTGAAGCAGATGGAGTTTTCAACATTATGAAAAATATAAAAATAAAAAAGTAGGGAAAGAAGAGGGGGGCACCTGACAGATTCAAATTAAATGTAAGAGAAGTCTGTTGCCTTCGAACAGGACATTCCTGACAGCCTGGTGGGGGGACCAGCATCAGTAAGAGAGTTTCATGAAAAACACGTTAGAAGAAAATGGCATTTGTGTGAAATGTCTTCCAGAGGAATTAGATATGGTAAGGTTTGGAGGCAGGCTGACCCAAAATGTCACAGTTTGCTAAATTATGAACAATGCAGCAAGAATTCTGCATTTAAAATAAATTAAAATTTTCATAGTTCACTCTGTGGAACGTGTGTGTGTGTGTGTGTGTGTGTGTGTGTGTGTGTGAGAGAGAGAGAGAGAGAGAGAGAGAGAGAGACAGAGAGACAGAGAGAGAGAGACAGAGAGACAGAGAGAGAGAGAGAGACAGAGAGACAGAGAGGGAGAGAAAATATTTATGAGGGAGAACCATACTAGTTAGTAGGCTTTGGCAAGGTGCAGATTACAAAGGGATATGCACAGTTTTCAGGAAACGAAGAAATGACAGCTTCTGGATTTTGACGCCCTCCTAAGCATAAGCACCCTCAGTCTGGAGGAGGCTGTCATGTTACCTGCCTTCTTGGATTACTTCATATAAAGTAGCCTCTCTATTGAAGCAGCAAAGCTTTTCCTGGTGTTTTTCTTTGGGCCCTTGTAAATGACCAGAATCACTGCAGGCTCTCAGATATGATAGGAACAGAATAAATAAGTAGGGGAGAGCTTGGGAAAGTTATATTTTTGGCTAGGAACTCCCAGGATTTCTTGAGCAGGACCAAACCAGGGATATCCTAGATACCATGTATATTATCAATATTTTTTCAACAGGTAATCATAGAATAATTGAATCGGAAGGGGCCTATAAGGCCATCAAGTCCAAACCCCTGCTCAATACAAGAATCCACGTTAAAGTATATCTGATGGATGGCTATCTAACCTCTTGAATGCCTCCAGTGTCAAAGAACTTCCTCTCCCAATGTAACTGGTTCCTCTGTTAGAAAGCTTTTTCTGATATTTAGCTGAAATCTAGCTTCCTAAAAATTGAGCCCATTGTCATATGATGTGCAATCTGGAGTGATTGAGAATAGATCCTGTCCCTCCTCCGTATGACAATTTTTCAGGTATTTGAAGAATGGTATCATATCATCCCTCAGTCTTCTTTCAGCCTTTCCTCTGAGAGTTTGGTTTCCAATCCCTCGACCATCCTTTTTGCCCTCCTCTGAACCTGTTCCAGTTTGTTTGCACCCTTCTTAAAGTGCGGTGTTGAGAACTAGACACAGTATTCAAGACGAAGCCTAACCAGTGCCAAAGAGAGGGGAACTAGTGCTTCACATGATTTGGAGACGATATTTCTGTTAATGTAGCCTAAAATAGCATTCGCCTTTTTTGCAGCCACACTGCACTATTGGCTCATATTCAGCTTGTGATCTACAACATAATAATGTACTCAGTTGCATGGTGGGCAAAAGAAATGATTCAAGGATTAGCTAAAGACATCATTGAAAGATTTTAATATTGATCATGTCAATTGGGAAGCTCTCACTCTAATCCTAAATGCCTGATGAAACACTGCAAAACAGAGGGCTAAAAAAATTGAAACAAAAATAACCAAGGATAACGAAAGAGAGAAGTGAGAAATCATGGATGTAATTTCTCGACTTCTGAGACTTTATAGTGGCCATACTTTTATTAGGCCCATCAAAAGGGCACAAAATCTGTGCAAACTTTCAAGGTCAGCCGATCCCTTATAAGGCATGATGTTACAAAAAAGAAGGCAGGGAAAAAATGGGGGAAATGGTTTGATCTTAAAGTTAGTGTGCCTTTAAGATGAAGTCATCCCCTTTCACCTTTTATGGTACCAAGACCACGGCATTCTCAAATGTTTCTCAGACTTCTGTGTCTTTTTAATTTTGGAATTTGTCTTTTATTTTACCTCTGCTTTTAATATCATGGTCATTATACATGGTCATTTGACATTTCAGGTTTTATCCCATTTTCTAAAGAATCTCAAGTAGAAAGACCTGTATTATCAAAAATTACCCCTAGAGGGAACGAGAGAGTATTTCTTTATATTTTTTTAGCCTGTTGGCAAGACAATGCAAAGAATTAAAAACTTGCAGCGCAATGAATTACTTTCAGATTTGGAACTATGATTATGATAACAGCAATCTGCCCCGAAGTAATGAGTAATGCAACAAATCCCTTTCTGAAATGAATGTTCCAAGAACTGTAATCTCTAAAGCTTTACAAACAAAAAGGAGCTTAAGAAAGCATTGCAAACACTCAGTTCTTTAACTTCCCAATAGCTATTTATACTATATAATACAAGGCTGCCACAGTGGATCTAACCTTGAATATTACACTTTTTAGTTCAAAGCTACCTTACCTTTAAGAGAAGGAGGTGTGTAGACACAAGGGGAGTTCCTTTTATTTTTAAGGTGGTAGCCTTCGCCCAAGGCTCTCTGGAGAAAGAGAGGGGAAAAGAGTCAACAGTTCAAAGGCAGCACAATTCCCCAAAGACTTCCCAGTGGAGTGAAATGTAGGGATGTTACTTTAATTATGGGGGAAGGGCAAATGGAAAAAGCAATTACCATAATTTGTTCAATTAAAATATTGGCTTTGATCCAGGGTGATCTATTGTGAGTGCACATGGGTTTGGAGACATATTTAGCTTACCCTTTTACATTATAATTTTTTTTCTGCAGCTGTTTCCCAGCACCCCAACACAAGGAGCTGCTTCTGAAATGTGGGGTTCTAAACAGGACTCTTAACACCATTAAAGAAATCTGTTAGTTAATTTTATACATTATAACTTATTAATTCTTAAGTAAATCATCATGCATTTGCAGAAAAATGTACTATAATTCAGGAGTAAAAAGACGCATATGGTGTTTCTGAAATAATGTACTTAATATGTTATAGCATGCATAATCTTACAAAATGCATTTACTTTTGTAGTTCAATTAAAGGCAAGATTCTTCTAAAAGGAATATAAACTCAATGAAACATAGCAATGTAACTTTCATTGATTCAGTGGGTCTGAATCATGGTGGCTGAGGCTTCAGGGAGGTGAAATCCCAAATATCTTGAGGATCATACTTTATCCTTGTTGTAAGAGAACTAAATAAGTGCCATGCTATTGTTTCACATTATCCTAGATGGTGATCATTCTCTGCCTATGAATGAATTTTAAATCTTCGGCCACTTTCTAATTGTTCCTCTGGATTGCGCCTTTCTTTAGAGTCTGCCCAATTACCCTTTCCAGCACAAGAAACACACATCTTTTAAGATTCTTACCCACTTGGTATAGATGGTAGAATTAAAAATATGGATGACAAGAGAAGGTGTGTGTGAAAATAACATATTAGTGGGAAAATGTAAATCTTTATGTGGCTCCTGACAGGTGGGGGGCACCTTTCCCTGAAATTTTGGGATGAGAATCTCCATCTCAGCCCACAAGCTGTCTCAGTGTATAGAAATGCATCATGTTACAGGAAATTGCTTGCAGTTCAAATATATACAAATGGTCATACAAGCTTTTAGAATAAGCATGGACTGATGCCAAAACGAACTGAACTATAAGAAATCGACTAAAACTAAAATTGGTACATTTGTCCATCCCTACCCCTTACTCTGTGCTATAGCAATAGCTGACTTCTATCCTGTAGTCTATTTCTATGAGCTGAAACCTTTCACAACTTGGCTAGCAATAGTATAGCACTGATGGACAACAGCATGATTGCCTGGCATTAAGAAAGGGGCTTTTGTATGGAAGGATAGAAATGTACCCTGAAACTCATAAAATCAGAACTTGGAAATAAATTTTTTACTCTAACACAATGATTTAAAAAAAATTCATTTTGTGTTTTCAGGGAACCTACTTAAAGAATAACATTTTGAAAGCCACATTTTAATTTTTAAAGGATAACATACATTCTTCCCATTTTTGCATTAATATTTTAAGTGGAGCTCGTTATTACAGGCTGGGAGTAAAATATTCTCACCAATGCTAAACATGGCAACTGGCTAGATGACTGCAAGCAAAACCCATATTTTTACACTCCAAGAGAATTTTTTACAGGGACACAAGCTCACTCACTAGGCCATCCTATCTATTTGTTCTCATTATCTCAGGTTAAAAAAAAAGAAGCACAAGGAAACTGGTTAGGGAGCTATTTTTAGGTTTCCTTTGAGATGTCTCAATTTATGTTAAGGTTACCCTGATAAATATATCCTTCTTTTGTGTGGTGGTGTTTATTCTGGCCCTGCACCACTAAGAAGTTCTTAACAGGCTCAAAGCCTTCTCTAAACACTGGCACTATGTTACAATAAAATTCACATAGTGCGGAGGGGAAAAAACACATTTGTCTACAAAATAGTACTCAGCAAAATGGAGGGGGCTTTTTTCTATACAATTCTTCTCACAAGAGCCTATCTTTCAATGATAGGAAAGTCTTGTGTGTGGGGGGGAGGGCATTCATCAGCAAGCAAGCTGATATTCTGGTTGGTACACAAACTTAGTCATATTCACAAGAGACACTGTTAAATGGCTTATGTTAGTCATGACCAGAATCTGAACACTAACTTTTTCAAATGTAATATATTCCTGTGTTCATTATAATATTTAAAAATAATTCACCATTGTTATTCATTAGTTATTGCAGAGAAACTTATAGAGTTCTTTGTTGTGTTGCTTGTTGTTTTTTCATTACTTTAAGAAAGGAATTGATACAGAATGGCATAAAATTTGTCAAACTGCCTCAGAAGGTTCCCTAAAATGGGCATTAGCAATAATTTTCAAAAGGAAACCAGAAAACAATTCACCTATAAGATAACTTGAGTCTTTTACAAATAGCTATTTGGCTTATTACTTCCAAACCATAGTCAACACTACGGTATTTACAGAGCATAAAAATATTACTTTTTTGGACAGCAACTCTCATAAACCACCAGCAGTTCATGCTGGCTGGAGCATTTGGAGAATTATAAGCCAAAAAGAGCAACATTTCCAGATTTTGTGGTTTTAGAAAACTAAAATATGGCAAGTACGCTGGCCTTGGTACCACAGTAGCAGGAGTGCTTTTCCTCACACCTACAATGATGAGGTATTGGGCTTGGGGATCTCCTTCACTTTTTGCTGGAACTCAAAAATCTCTAGTAGGAGATTAATGCCAAAATATACATAATAAATTAGAGAACTGTTGGTACTATTTTTCAGAGTACCAATACTGAACTGACCTCACCATCCTACCAAAAACCCACATTTAATCAAAAGTGCCCCCTGCCACCAACACCTTTAATTTCAGCAGTATATTTCAGGGTTGTGATGTGAGCTTATGGAATCTTGCTATCATCACTAAGTAATTGGGAGTCCAAAATCTTTCCTGCTCTACTTCAAATCACCCAGAAGTCTCTGTTTTACTCAACATGATCCCTATTATGTGATGCGAAGCAATGCAATGCATGTTGGCATTGTAACCCACAATCCCTGACTGATAGGACTGTGTAGTATAAGAGAAAGAAGCTTATGATGAAAAGGAGATTACATCGTTGTAGCAGCAGTTTTGGGGGGAATTGTGGCTATCAACAAGTGCAAGAAAGGTAACGTTTTTTTAGAAGTAAGGAAGTTGAAGGGAGGTCATTTCAATCTCCTCAAAAGCAGAGATATGAACATTTCTTTCTTTTTGTCTACAACCCCCAGAATATCCCTGACAGCTGGAACCTGTAAGCAAAAAAGGTAACTTTTCTCCATTACCACTCAAAAGCATTTCACTTGCAAAATATTCATGAGAGAATATTTGGCACAATGCCATTGAAAAGTCACTGTTGTGTAGTGGGAGTCAGGAGGAATTTGGGGACGACTCCTATCAGCCAGCTCTTAATAATTTAGGATTACTAAAGGCTGATGGTAGATACCCTGAAGTGAACATACACATTTTGGGAAGAGGAGAGTAGGCTTACTACCAACATGAATTGTTAGAAATGAGAGGGTGTTCTCATTAAGGAAGAACATATATT